GGCCGCTCTGGCGAGCACCCCCGCGCGCCGCCCTCGGTGGGAGAGCCGGGATTTGAACACAAACCGCTGCGGTCTCCTGGGGCAACCCGGAGGGCACGTGCGGGCCGCGCTGGCCGGGCCGCCTGGGTGAGCACGACGCCCGCCGGCAGCGGCGCGCCCTGGGCCGCGATCGCGGGAACCTCGAGGGACTCGGGCGCTCTTGTGGTGCCTTACCCTGCAGGCTGCTCCTCCCGCGCACCCCCGGGCCGCTCCGCCAGGCCGTGAGGGTGGGGCGGGGGACAGGTGGGGTCCGCTCTGCACTTTCCCCTGGGTCCCTGGCCCGGCTCTTCTGTGACCTGGCGCTTGCCTTCCCTCCCGTTGCTTGGCTCCAAGGAACTGGCCTTGCCAAGTAACTACTGGTTTTGATCCTGGAGTTGGCAGGTGGTGTGGTGGTTAGAGACGCTGGACTCCCACTTGGGTGATCAGTAAGTCAACTCGGTTCGAGTCCCAGACCTGGCAGCTTGCTTTCTCACTTTCTTTCTCTCCCTGTCCCTCTCTGGTCAAATGAAAAAAAAAAAAAAAAGTAAATAAATAAAGTTAAATAAAATAATTCTTCCCCCCCCCCCAAAAAAAAAAGACCTCTGATCCTTCCCAGTTGTCCTTGGTATGATGTGGGGCCCTGGAGTGTCCCTCCCCTAATCCCTGCACTTTGGGGAAGAAAGTGGAAAAGGAGGAGATTTCTGCTCCGAGTTCTGCATTTCTTCCCATTACTCTGACTTGATTCTTTCTTTGTTTTTAATTTGCTATAGGGTGTGTGCCATCACTGGAGAGGGGTGTGAGGGGGAGAGGGAGAGAGAAAGCACTCCAGGGGAGATGGCCCTGCAGTCCTTTTTCCTCTATTCCCCTGTCGGGATTCTGGACCTTCTGTTTTTTAATTCACTGGACCTGGGCCCCCCTCCCTATATGGGATCCAGCTGCCTTAACCACTCCATCCCTGGCTGGCCCCTCTGACTTAATTTCTTAGCACAAAAGCTTACTTTAAAAAAAAAAAAAAAAAGAATTATTTAACTTTATTTATTTTGACCAGAGAGGGATAGAGCAAGAGATGGGGTAGGGACAGAGAGAGAGAGCGCGAAGTACAGAGTGAGAAAGTACGTGCAAGAGAGGGAAAATGAGAAAGCAAGCCTCCAGGTCCAGGACTTGAACCATTGGTAGGCCATGTGGGAATCCAGTGCCTTTAACCACCATGCCACCTGCCGGCCTCACAAAAGCTTACTTTTAAAAAATAGAAAAGGTAAAAACTATTACCTATAAGAAACTTACAGGGACCAGCAGGTGGTGTGGTGACCAAGACGTGGGACACTCCCACATGGCTGACCATGGTTCAAGTCCTGGACCTGGTGGCTTGCTGTCTCATTTTCTCTCTGTCTGTATCTCTCTCTGGTCAAATTAAAATGAATGAATGAATGAATAAATAAATAAATAAATAATCCTCTAAAAAAGGAAAATCGGGGCCAGTAGGTGGCTTAGTGGTTAAGGACACTGGACTCCCATGCCTGATTGAAGTTCAAATCTCCAACCTGGCAGCTTGCTTTCTCACTCTCTCTCTTTCTCTGTCCCTCTCTGGTTAAAGTAAAATAAATGAATAAATAAAGTTAAGTAAAATAACTATTTTAAAAAAAGAAAAGAAACTCTTACACGTTCTCAATATAATTCTTATCTCATTAGTGAGTAGTGGGATGTTTCTTGCACGACTCATGGGTTTTGAGGAGAAAATTCTGGAAAGGATCAAGAGCATTTCTGCTTTAAAAAGTCCATTCTGCTCTGAGGCCCAGGCAGGTATGAGGGGAATGTTCTAGTAAAGCTACTGCTTATCCAGAGAGTGTCAAACTAGTGAATACTAACCCTGCCCTGCCTTCTCCTCCCCACTCTCCTGGTATTTCCCTCGGGGATGTCAAATAGGAAACAGACTGGCCTTCAGAGGAAACCCCAGAAGCAAGAGGAAGTTGCTTGGTGACTTTCGTAAAGAATTTAGTGAGGAGCTAGCAGATGGCGTGGTAGTTAAGGTGCTGGACTCCCACATAGTCAACCATGGTTCAAGTCCTGGACCTGGAGGCTTGCTATCTCACTTTCCCTCTCTCTCTCTCTGGTCAAATTAAAAATTAATAATAAATAAATACTTTTTTAAAAAGTGTTCAATGAAATAAGATGCTTTGGCCAGCAGGTGGCAGAGTGGTTAAGGTGCTGGACTTCATGTGACTGCCTATGGTTCGAGTCTCCTATCTGGCACCTTGAAAATCATGCGGAGTGTGTGTGTGTGTGTGCCCAAAATCCCAGGTGGAGAAAAGATTGCAGGAAGACTCTCCCCGGGGGTTGATTTCACACTTCGCCTCTTCCTCTGTCTCCCCAAGTGACCAAACACACACACACACACACACACACACACACACACACACACACAGACAATGCCTCCTTGTTACACAAGGAGTAGTACTAGTGAGTTGGACTGTTGGTTTCTCTTTTTTTCTTTTTTATTTTTTTTTTAGAGAGAAAGAGATTTTTACTATAGGATTCGTGTGCCCGCCTAAGAGAGAGACAGCGCAAAACCACCTCCCAGGGGGATGGCCACGCCACAATCCCTTCTCCTCCAGTCTCCTCTCGGGATCTTGGGCACGCACACACACAGGCCCAGCGTGAGTTTCAAGCTGCTGGGTCCGGGACTCGAACTGTGGTCGACTATGTGGGAGTCTAGCAGCCTAAACATTATACCATCTGCTGGTCCCAGTTGGTTTCTCTTTGTAAAGAAAATAATCCCAAATTCTGTTTGGGTGTTTTTATTTCTGGGAGAAAAGTTTCCAGAATAAAACCTCTTTACTTCCCCCACCAAATTGGCATTGCTGTAAAACGCTCCCTCGCGATGCCTGAAATTCCTCTAACCGTTGGTCTATACGTATTAGTTTCTTTAAGTGTCCTTTTAACATCCAGAGTCTTGTGGATCGGCAGGAAGAAAAGGCCATATAGGCACATGGAGTAAAGAGAGGAGAGAGGGACCAGCAGTTAGCGTAATGGCTATGTCGCTGGACTCCCACATAGTCGACCGCGGTTTGAGTCCCGGACCCAGTGGCTTAAACTCACGCCGGGCGCGTGTGCATGCATGCCCAAGATCCCGAGAGGAGAACGGAGAAGAAGGGATTGCAGCGTGGCCATCCCCCCTTGGGGGGGGGTGATTTCTCGCTTTCTATCTCTCTGTCTCTGTCTGTTTGGTAAGCGCACGTGCCCTATAGCAAAAACCTCTCCAAAAAGAAAAAAAAGAGAGAGGGGAGAGTGGGGGCCGAAGTCCGCAGAAGAGGGAAGGCTGGGTGGAACAGAGAAAGGCAAATTCAGATTTTCCCAGGGTCAGGCCAGGTACAGGGGTTCATGATCTCCATCACCGATGGCTATCAGAACCAACCAAGCAAAAGTTTGAGGTTGAGAACGGAAAGATGATGTGAGAGATAGACCTTCCTTCCCTTCGGGGCTTAGTTAATAACGGACCTTGGCTAATGATTTACCAAATGTTTCTACATTGCAAATCCATACGCTCTGCACACAGCCCTACCTATTCGGTAGGCCAGGCGGGAGTTATGCTGGACTCAGAGGTTGGTGGCAGACTGGGGAGCAGAGAGATTTCAGGGACACCTAAAGTCACGTGATAAGCACGATCTTGACTCTTGATCATGGCTTTTTCTTTTTTTGGGGGGAGAGGTTTTCGCTATAGGGCGCATGCGCTCGCCAGACAGACAGAGAGAGACAGAGAGACAGAAAGCGAGAAATCACCCCCCAGGGGGGATGGCCACGCCGCAATCCCTTCTCCATTCTCCTCTCGGGATCTTGGGCACACACGCACACGCACCCGGCGTGAGTTTTAAGCCACTGGGTCCGGGACCTGAACCGCAGTCGACTACGTGGGAGTCCAGCGACATAGCCATTACGCTAACTGCTGGTTCCCAGATCATGGCTTTTTCTGAATCCACACCACATCCTTGATTCTGGCAGAGGAGCCATCTCCATGAGAAAACAGAGTGGCGTGGGGGTGCGAGGACTGGGGCGTCTAAGCAGCAAGTGCTACTGGAGTTTGGAGCAGGAAAGAGCTTCCATGGATGTGGATCACGTCAAGCTTAGCCTTTAGCCAGGGCCTTTTGTTACGATTCTGGGACCAGCAGATGGCGTAATGGTTACATCATTGGACTCCATGTAGTTGACCGCAGTTCAAATCCCGGACCTGGCAGTTTAGCACTCAACATCAGGCGCGTGTGCGTGCATGCCCAAAATCCTGAGAGGAGAGTGGAGGAGAAGGGATTGCGGCCTGGCCATCCCCCCTGGTGGGGGCCGAATTTCTCATTTTCTCTCTGGCAAGTGCACATGCCCTGTAACAACAAAAATCTAAAAAAGAAGATTCTGTCATTTGGGGCCAGCAGCTGACGTGGTAGTTAAGGTGCTGGTGGCAAACCGTGATTCGAATCCTGGCCCTGGGGGCTTGCTTTCTCACTTTCCCTTTCTCTCTGTCTCTGGTCAAATTAAAAAATAATAATAAATGGAATCTAAAACCAAGTAATTGTTTTTTAAAATTATAATAGCAAAATTAAGTGAATAGTTCTTTGAAAGGGACAAAAAAGATTCTATAATTCATTAGGTCTCTCTCGCTCTTTTTTTTTTTTCCGAGTGACTTTTGCCATAGGGCCTGTGCGCTCGCCCTCGCCAGAGAGACAGAAAGCAGAAACCCCCCTGCTCAGAGGGCTGGCCATGACGCGGTTCCTCCTCCTCCGTTCTCCTCTTGGGATTTGGGCACACGGGCACACGCGCTGGGCGTGTGTCAAGGCCGAGTCAGGACCCAGCCTCGCCTGGCCGTGTGGGAATCCAGCACTTAGCCACCGTGCTGCCTGCTGGTCTCCATTCGATCTATTTTTTAGGGAGAGCGAGGTTTCTCCTACAGGGTACATGTACTTGCTGAAGAGACGGATAGAAAGCGAGAAATCCCCCCTCGGGGGATAGCCACAATCCCTTCTCCGCCATTGTCCTCCTGGTGCACTTGGGCATGCACGCACACTCACCCGACTTGAGTTTCAAGCCGCCGAGTCAGGACTCAGACCGCGGTCCACCATGTGGGACTCCAAGCAACAGAACCACTGCGCTAACTGCTGGTTCTGCCCAGTTGGTCTCTTTTAACCTGGCTGCCCTTCAACCTCAAGACTCTCTTTGTGTGTGTGTGTGTGTGTGTG